ATGTCTCCGCAGCAAAAGTGGAGACCGCAGATGCGTCCAGCTTTAAGATTACAAACGATTTGTTCAACCATATTACAAGGCTTCTGATCGACTTTGGCAGGATTCAAAGTGTCTGCAATTCCCTAAAAGAGACAAAAGTGAGTAATGATGGTTGTTGGGGTGCACGCTGTGCGCAGTCCCCGTTTGTGCCCTAATTTCCATTCTTCATCCCTGTTCCTCACCCTTCTTTGCCCACATTTTATCAACAATTTTGTTGCGGTGTTACTCCAATCCAGGATTTGGAGAAGGCGATGATGATAAAAAGATGGCTAGAAGAGCTCCTTGATGATGCAAAGGCAACGAGGCCAATGATGGAGCGGGCACTACACCTGCCCATAACACAAATGTCTTCCTCTGATAAGTACAGTAAGGTACGCTAACGCTCTTCCCTCACCAACCTTTGTGCGCTTTTTTATACACATTTTATTCCTATGATGATGGTGCAGCAAAAATGTTTGGGAAAATGAAACGGCAAGACTTAAACAGAACCAGGCGTGGGATTCGAATTTGGCAGTTTGGTGGAACATTAATTTTTTTTATTTGCTGGAGCAATCGGACGTTGACACCAACCTTCTTCACGTACATGCTAAGTTCAATGAGACGTTTGTTTCTGTAGGTTGTAGCAATGCCATGACGCTAAGGGCGAAATAAGGGAAAGATGTGCGTAAATATCGCAACCCGTAGCCTTCACTAAGAATGACTCCTGCGTATAAACTTAATGATGCCTGCAAACTTGACGGAGGTAGTGCTTTTCAACCGAGTCGTACCAGTGTAGATAAAATTAAGTATAAAAACACTCTGCTCTGTTTTTTGATAGCTCATCCAAAGTCTGAAAGAGTTCAACCTTGTCGTGGCCGACGACTCGGTGTCCCCTCCACAGCCACAACAAACTCCTAATCGGCGCGACATTGGCAGACCAAGGTAGGTAAAGCATCACGACCGTGCTATTCTACTCACCGCGTTACACACGTGGATGGTTTTGAAGTGCGTAAGATGGTCGAGGTCTCCCTCCTTTCTTAAGTGCTGTCAGATTGGTGTGTTTATCCCGGTGTGAGAATAGAAGAAAAGGAGAAGGGGCGACAGCCGGTAATGCTAGTGTAGGGGTCAACAAAGCGTTAATTGTTGCTGCTGTATGCTCATAAGCGAAAACGCCACCTCATTCAGCAGCATCGCGGTGAAGTCTCGGGTGAAGCCGTTCCTAGACGGTCTACAAAAAGGCCACACGGAGGGACAATTGAGACAGCACTTTGCCCAATACGGTACTCTCACTGAGTGCAGCATTGCGAGGGACTACAATACGGACGAATCAAGGGGGCTTGGCTTTGTCGCCTTCAGTGAGGTGGAAGACGCCTCTCGTGCGTTGGCTGCCAGCCCCTACCGACTCAACGATAGCCTCGTGTATGCGAGACCCTACAAGCTGAGGACGGTGAAGGAGAAGGGGATAGAAGAGGCATTACTTTCTTCTTGTCCTGCCAAGTGAGTTGGTTTTATGCCTACAATTGGAATCATAACTAGCACCTTATTTAAGTTACCTCTTTTGCTGTGTGCACAACAAGTTTGTTTCCTGTAGCATGCTATAAATGACTATAGCAAAGAGAAAAGTTACAACTGGTAAGTAACGTCAGAACACAGTGTAAGGCGCCTTTACCACTGACGTGCATTTAGTTTGATAAGGTTTCAAGTAGGGTTAACGGTAAGTGGTCAAGTCTGCTGATTGAGTTTACACACCTTGTTGGTTTGAGGGATTGGTGGAGTGATTGTGGTTTTACCTGAAGCTTTAACTGGGCAGTGACAAAGTTTGTTGGCAGATTTACGCGTGGAGAAACATTGGCTATTAAAAATGATGTTTTGCCAATTTTCGTGATGCGTTGGCGAATTTGTTGCAGGAATGGAGACGAGAGTGGGGAGAAGAAAGACGAAGACTGTAAAACCAGCAAGAGAAGAAGGGTTAATGAGACGCGCCTATTTGTTCGTTACCCAAATCTCTCCACCTCGCAACAGACAATGAAGGAATACTTTTCTCAATTCGGCAACGTAAAACATGTCATTCTAGTGCTAGATAAGAAGACCAAGATGCCACAAGGCACAGCCTTTGTGGACATGGCCACATCTCAGGAGGTGGAAACTGTTCTCGAGGCGCGCCCCCATCAACTGAATGGAGAGAGTATTGTCGTGAAACAGACACGTTCGCGACAGAGGTGAGTATGGCAGCCATCGCAGCACCCTAAGCTCTACTGTAGTGAGTCTCAATACCGTGTCCACCCATTCACAGGAAAGCAAAGGTCTCCAATGCCGTCAAACCTGTTCATCAATTGGTTGTTGATGGCATTCCGTCTCCAACAGCGAAGATTCACATTATAAAACTCTTCAGCCAATTCGGTCAAGTAGCAATGGTTAAATTGGAGAAGCAGATGCACCGGGCCGTTGTAACTTTC